TTTTTTAACACACAATCATCTGTATAAATTTTTGGATTTATCCTTCTAAGTAAGAAGACAAACTAGAATTAAACCCCAATACAGGCTACTTCCTGAACTCTTTCAGGTTACTCAACTGAAAGTTTTTTTGGAAGCATTACAGACAAATTGTTTCTAACTTAAACTAGTTCTCATGAATTTCGAAGCTAATACATAAGCACTATAAAAACTGCTATCCAGACAAACAGCTTTTCACACCCTCCCATCTCCCACAAGAATCACCTACTTTAGTATTGGCAGGGGGTCGCCCCAACTCATACTTCCTTTTCTTATGGTAGGGCTTCCGCTTTCCTCCAGTCTTACGGCGCTTATGCCAGTTATCCCTGGAGATACCTGGATGGACAGAAAAGCCGAAGGGTGAAGACGAGAGTATGCCATTCTGCAGTTCTATTTCATCTGGAAGGAGACCTAATGCCCCAGATTACTCAGCTCTCCAAGGTAAAAAAAATCTCCGCATGGTGTACTCGGCCACATGCAGCAGTAGAAAAAGTTTCATCATTGCAATAAGGGGCAAAGGAATACATAAAAGGCCCGGGCACTCTGAACATGGAGACGGATTGATTCTGCGCAGTCTCTCTTCCTGCAGGACGACAGCCATGTACCACCGCGGCCCAAGCCAAAGGCAGGCCCCGACCTCAACAAGCCGCGGAACAGCGAGAGCCCGGGCACCATAACCCAGGCTCCCAAACGTACGAACGTCTCTCTCCGCAATGCCCGAGATGCAGATGGATACGGACAAACCCTTGGTCGGATGGCAACGGATAAAAAGGTCGCTCCCGCCCGGCCAGCAAACCACTCACCCATCCTTCTCCGGAGGCGCCGACTGCAAAGAGGAAGGCGCAAAGCATCACGGGGCGATTTGCTGGGCAGGAAATCTCGCGTTAGTTTTCACAGGCCGTCGCACTGTTTGGTTAGGGCTGAGTGTTGTCGTCATCAATACGAGACGGGAGGGTGAGATTGTGGCAAAGAGAAAGTGGAAGCGTAGCTGGTGGTGCTTTAGGTGCAATGATGTAGGGCAGGCAGGGGATGGGGGAGACAAGAGCTTATACCTTGCAGAGGCCCTTCTGCACCGCTGTCGAATACTTTGCGATGTTTGTGCATTTATTTTATTTTATAACTTTTTAAGTATGTTCGCAAAGTTGCTGTAGTTCAGTGGGTAACAGCTGAACCGTTTCAAATCCCAGGCGTGCCGAGAGAGACAGATCAACGGAAATCCTTTGCGATGCAGGTGGTTGGTGGGGTTACACGTCCTCTCACCTGTGTTGTGGGCAAGCTGCGCGGTTCCAGAAGGGCGGCTGAAGGAGGAGGGACGGGTAAACAGGATTTGACTGCTTTATACCTAGAAAACACTAGGAGTGTCGCCTTAAGGCAGAATGTATGGCACATCATTGGATTGCATTCAGGACTTGTGTGTTCAGTTTTGGTTGGCGTAATGAAAGTTGCACCTTAGTATAGATTGTAATGCGCTCTACGTGGGGCTACCTCTGGGGTTGCTGCGGAAACTACAGGTGGTGCAGAATGCGGCGGCCAGATTAATCAGCGGTGTGAAAAAATACCAACATATTTCCCCCACTCTGGCCGCCTTGCATTGGCTGCCCATCCGTTTCCGCATCGACTTCAAAGTGTTGATGCTCACGTATAAAGCCCTAAACGGTTTAGGGCCTCAATACTTGGCGGAATGCCTTCTCCCGCCAAGATCTACCCGTGTCACTCGCGTGAGCCAGGAGGTGAGGTTGAGGAGCCTAACGCCGAGGGAGGCCCGGAAGGAGAAGACAAGAAATCAGGCCTTCTCGGCGGTGGCTCCTCACCTCTGGAACAACTTACCTCCTGTGATCCGCAGGTCTCCCTCGCTGGGTGTCTTCGAGAAGCAATTGAAGACATGGTTGTTCCGGCAGGCCTTTCCATCATACTCCTCTTGACCCCCCTCTTTTTTGTTTTTGTTTTTTGTTTTGTGTATTATATGATTTAATGTAGTGCCTTCTTCTTTTAGAATTGTCTGTTTTCGTTGTTTTATATTATTTTTATGGTTGTTAGCCGCCTAGAGTGGTCCGTTTGGACCAGATAGGCGGGGTATAAATCAAATAAATAAATAAATAAATTGTGGAATTTGTTTTCTGCCAATGTAGCAATCCAATTCTGTAGGAAGATTTCTAGTTTATATGAAGAACAAGTGGAAAAGACTACAGTAATTTTCTTTCTCCTGTTTGTTGTGTGTCCTACCATCAAGTCAGAATCAACTTAAAAGTGAGATGAGAGAAAGACAGATCAACGGTTTGCTGCTTCCTGGCCTTGTAGAGCCCACTGGTGCTGCCTCCATCACAGCTGGATTGCCAAGGGCTCCTCCGGGTGTATTGCTCCTTACGCCTTTGCTTCCACTGCTCTCCAGAACAAGAGGATTTGGAGGCACCCAGGGGCTCAGATGTTTATCTGCCTCATCCAGAAGGGCCCTTAACTGTACATGCACTCCAGTCCAAAGGTACTCCTTGTAAATACACTCCCAGTCTCCAGGTGGGAGGGGTTCTCCCTTCACTTGGTAGCCTTCAACTTTCTCCTCTGTCACATCTAGAAGTAGGACCCTAGTTTATATACCCTGCTCCATCTCTCGCACACTCCTCCCTTCTCTTTCGAGTGGCTCTCTTGTATTGCATAAGTCCCAGGCACCCTTGAGCAGCTATAGGAGTCATTCCACTCAGCCTTAGCAGCTGTCGGGTTCATTCCACCCAAGGACTTCTAGCTGGGTTCCTTCAAGGTGCCCAAGATTCAGTCTGGATTCCCCAGGCATGGCATCTGCTAGACCCATCTCCCTGAAGCCTACCGGAGAGCAACCACTTCAGAATTCAGCAGGTCCAAGGACCAAACGAGGACCTGTCAACAAGGGCACCCGTGTCAGTGGCCTCCTCTCTCTCAGTCAACTAAAACTATCCATAGACTTCAACTCATAGAAGCTAGCCATTATAGTGAACAAACCATTGTGGGAGCTGTAGGCCAATGTATCTGTAAGAAACACTAAGACCAAACTCGTAATTGCTTGACCACTTACTTAAATAGGGATGTATTACTCATCATACTGAAGTGTAAGATGTAAACATCATGTCAAGCATAGAAACATTGCACATCAGTTCATTGTTAGCTTGCTTTTCCCTTCTACTCCTATAGCATGTCCTTCACGTCACAGTAAGTAGTCTTCTATGCACTTCCCTTTTCCATTTTATTGGCAGTGTTGTGTTCTCAGATTCCTCCATCTGGAGTTGTTTGAGAACTGATCTGAGCCAGATTATTTAGAAGAATCTTAGGCTAGCTACTATCATCTCTGTTTTGTAAAAGAAACAGCTTTCCATTCCTTAACAGTATATTTATATATATATATCAGTTGAGGAGGACTCTACTCATGTCACATCAGACTTTTGAGAAGACGCCATCTCCAGTGCTAGAAAATCCAGGAATTTCGATTCAATTTTAGGTCTATTGGCAAACATTTGAAAGAGGTTGTAGATATATTCTGGATTATTGCAACCATTTTACAATTTATCCCGGCATACTTCGCCTCCGTGAATTTGAAGAGACACTTGTTCAGCAGGCCGAGGCAAAGAGGCAGTCCCGAAACCAGCAAAATCAGCGAGCTGGATAGGGCAGATTGTGTTTGTTTTCAGTGTGGAAGGGACTGTCACTCTCGAATTGCCCTTTTCAGCCACACTAGACACTGTTCCCTCTATTCAGAGCACATTACCATAGTCTCTCAAGACTGAAGGATGCCTACTACTTAGCAGCAAAATATTTCAAACTAGAGTATTTTTTGTCTTGAAAGGACACAACCTTTGTGCTACACTGACCTACAGATACTCCCCTTATGATCCGAACATGTAATCAAAGTATTTTAGTCATAGAAGTGACTGAACTAATTAAAAAACAGAGTATGCAGCATTACACAGTTGCATGCATAAGAGGCTGCTGAATATCACTATTCTGACTGGCTTTGCAGAATTGAGGATGTGTACATTGATTGCTTTTGTTGAACCACATTATCTAACTATATTGTCCTCTTAAGTGAATAAATGAATTGCCATGTCACTTGCAGTGAGAACTGCTGTACTAGGAATATTATAGTCAAGAGACAAGCAATAAGAAAGTAGTTATACAGATCTTTGCATGTCAGCCAATGTGTACTTTCAATGATATATAAATGGAAGCTATTTCTACAATCAGTAGGACTAAGCAAGCCTAAAATGAAAGTACAGTACTATTTGTTCATCAGTGTTACGGATGTTGGATTCCAACTGCACAAAAATAACAGCTGAAAAATTCTTGAAGCACTCAATCTTCCCTCATCCTGTACCTCAGTGTCTTCATATGTAATAGCATTCTTGTTTGTTCAAAGCAATACCCTATCCTTCTGAAATCCTGTGTCTCAGATTAAAGGACAAAATCCCAGTTTTCGTGAAGTAAAACATAAATATCAGTGTACTATACACCACTCTGTTATGTTCAGTATCAATTTTTTCATTACCTAGTTATCTTTTTATAGGTGTTTGACATGTAACATTTCTCTCCATTCAGACCAGGTCTAATAATACATTATTGATAAAGAACATGTAGAAAGAAACAAGCATGATAGAGCTGGTATTTCTTGCTTAACAGATCACAATAGCCAATAGTTTCCTCATCCATAGATGTGCTGACTGTACTGCATTTGGGATGGATTAAATCCTCTCATGCCAGGAAACCTGGTCCCAACATCTGCTGACACAAAAGTTAGGCCAGAAGTCTCAAAGTAGTCTCCCAACACACCTAGGCTGAGAAGCGTTTGTATTCAGCCCAGCTGTCTCCAGCCATCTTGATTATTTAGGAATGCACCCTGGTACTACTATGCTTTTGAGGTGGTAGTGGTAACAAGAAGATCAAATTAAAACAAAATACAGTATTAAGAAATTCCAGGAATTTTCTGTGAGAAATGAGACACAGAATTGGCAAACTGATGCAAAATATTTATTCCAAGTTAGTTATCTTTTGATGCAGTAGTTTTCCCCCTCATACAGACTCAATGTGATAGTCACTTTTTTAAATCTGTAAATAATGTTATCAAAATAATCTTAATCTTTGAAATCCCACAAAAATTTATATTTTACAATCCACCCTGAATATCAAGGTTGCAAGAAGAACACAAACAATTCCTATATCCAAATATTTTACAGCTGTACCCAAAAAAGAAAAACCAAACACGCCTGGTTAAGTGATGAAGCTCCCCGAGCCGCCAAGAAAATAAAAAAGTTCCATGTTATTAGCATTAATTTAACACAATTAGAACTTCCATAGCCATTTTGTCATTGACAATGATTGTTTTAGCACATTATTGCCGCACAGCATTTTGTTATGTGGACGGCAGTATGAGAAGCTTGTGGCTGCCCAACTCAGTCCCTTAAATCCTGCTCCCAATGAGACTGAACTGAAGCCTTGCTCCAGAAGGCCATGAGTCACCCGTCTGCATGGACTGGTCTCTATGAAGCATAGGGCAAAACAAAAAACTAATAAGCCAAATAGCCTTCTTCTTTGGGATATAATTCTTTCCCTTGTGCATGAAGTTTTCAACAATAAAAAGAAACTGAACAGACTCGAGACAGAATAAACTCTGCTTCATTTGAACCCCAAACATTTATGTGCTGAACTACAAACTGAGTTTGCTGGGTTGGATTTATACTGTGAATTTTGAGGTGCCCATGTTCAGGCATCATCGTCTGAAGTTTCACTGCTGCTTGTTTCTGTGTCTGATTCTTCAAACTCTGACTTAAAAGTGCTTCTCCAGTGGGAGAACAGTTGACTGCTGCAACGGCCTTGAAGAAATCCATTCTTCCTAAAGCCATTTTTTCTTAGCTGGAAAAAAGAAAGAATGTGCTTCATGTTTTGTTTCTCTCCTTGTACAGTTAAGATCAAAGCAAACTTCATCCAAATTATACTCGTATACAAAGTGCATATATGTTGTGTTAACAGTGGTCTGGGTTTTCTGAGGAATTCTGAATTGGAATATTTTTCAATGCTGTAAACTGATTTCATTTAGCATATTTTATCTGAATTAAATTTAGTAAACCATATTCCGAACAGTGTATAAATATTTGAACTCTGAATACCTTTCTTTGCACAGTGATATCACTGTGTGATCCTGGACAAGTCACTCTCTCTCGTACCTTTCTCTCACTGACAGGTATCCTTAGCATGCCTGCACTCCTGTCTTGTAAATCTAAAATGTAGTGGAGGATCACACAGAATCTTAACTGGAGGCCAAATGTAGTGTGGTAGATAAGAGACTTAACAGGTTTGTTGTGCACAACAGTTTACATTTGTGTAAGGGAAATCATTTAAGTCTTCGTGGCAAATTCCTGCTTATTAACAAGGTGTCGGTAGCATTCCTGGACGTGGTAATGAGCAGCAATTTGCCACTGGGTAAAGGTAAAGGTTCCCCTTGACATTTAATCCAGTCGTGTCCGACTCTAGGGTGTGGTGCTCACCCCAGTCTCCAAGCCGTAGAGTCAGCGTTTGTCCATAGATCGTTTCCGTGGTCACATGGCCAGCGCGACTAGACACGGAATGCCATTACCTTCCCACCATGTTGGTACCTATTTATCTACTCGTATTTACATGCTTTTGAACTGCTAGGTTGGCAGGAACTGGAACAAGTGACGGGAGCTCACTCCATCGCGTGGATTCGATCTTACAACTGCTGGCCTTTTGACCTTGCAGCAGAGGCTTCTGTGGTTTAACCCGCAGCGCTGCCACATCCCAATTTGCCACTAAATTGTATCTAATTTCCCTTACACATGTGAGAATTGTCAATAGGATTCACACCAGTTCCATTTTGATCGGACCTGCATTGTCAAAACATGAGTTCATAACTTGACACTGGTTTGATTATGTATATCTGCAGTTTTAATTGAGAAATCAGTAAAACATACTGTATATGCATTCTCAGACATACTTCCTATATATAATCTCATAACAAAGATAATGTACAGTGGGGTCTCTACTTAAGAACTTAATCCGTATTGGAAGGTGGTTCTCAAGTTGAAACGTTCTTATGTTGAATCTGCATTTCCCATAGGAATGCATTGAAAACCGTTTAATCCGTATCTGCTCTTTTCCGTCCATAGAAACTACAGTGGAACCTCTACTTAAGAACTTAATCTGTTTTGGAATGGTGTTCTTAAGTTGAAACGTTCTTAAGTTGAACCAACCTTTCCCATAGGAATGGACTGAAAACCAATAAATCTGTTCTGGCTGTTTTTTTGTTATGTAGAGGTGCGTTCGTACATTGAAGCATTAGTTCCCATAGGAACTAATGCAAAGCTGGTTAATACGTACTCTACCACTAGGGGGAGATTTTTTTTTTAACCTAAGATGACCTAAGGTTAAAAAAAGAGCAGGAAAGGTTTTTTTTCCTGTTCTTATCTTGGATTTCTGTTCTCAAGTAGAAGCAAAATTTAGCAAATGGAGCTGTTCTTAAGTTGGATTGTTCTTAAGTAGGGACGTTCTTAAGTAGAGACCCCACTGTAACTAAATTGGGTTCCGACTTAAGTTTTGCTTAAGAATACAAGAATGTTTTTATGATAGCTTTGAAACTGTCAAGCTTGCATAATATTGTACTGGTATTTATTCACTGTTACGGTATTAACTAATTTTATGAAACTTTTTTTTAGAAATGGAAAATTTTCTGAGGAAAAATAATGCACTAGAAAATCTTCTAGGAAATTTTCAATTCCAAATCACTGCCTATCAGATACAGCAAAGAAGATCATTTAACTTTCAGCAGACATTTCTGCTGCAGTCATAATCACTATGGCTTCCCATGTCAGACTTCCTATGTCAGACCTTAGTCTTTAAAGAGTTGATATGATAAGCACATAACCACAGAAGTTGTACTTACCTGCTCTGACTTTATTTGGAACTCTTTGAGCTCGTCTTCTGTGAGGGGAAGGCAATTCTCATCATTTTCAGGGTATTCCTGCCATCCCATTGCTTTCAGTAATCTAGGAAATAAAAGAAGCAGAGATGGAAGATAAAGGAGAAAAGAGATCACCCCTCATAAAAAATAAAAGATGAGTTGTGTTCCTATTTTTCCTGTTGCTATCTACCAGTGATCTTAGCAGTGATTTGTTAAGTTCTGTGTAGTGTTTCCATATTATTCAGTGATGAGAATAGTCTAAGGACAGAGCCTGGGTAAAAAGTTAGCAGAACCATTCATGCATTCATGAAGGAGACTGTGATGAAAAGTACCATGGAGAGAAGAGGAAAGAAAAAAAATCACCACCCAATTCAATGTATTCGCGAAGGCTTTCACGGCCGGGATCTAATGGTTGTTGTGCATTTTTCAGGCTCTTGGGCCGTGTTCTGAAGGTTGTTCTTCCTGACGTTTCGCCAGTCTCTGTGGCCAGCATCTTCAGAGGACAGCAATTTGCTGTC